ACTAATCTGTGAGGCTGAGTCTACCAGACCAGTTTCCAAATTCAAAGCACGATTGAAAAACAGAAACTAGAGAGTGAGTAGTTGGGCTTGAAAAAATGAGTTGGAAATTTAAATGAGTGAGGCTATTCTTGAGGAAGATAAATAGTTTGATTTATTAAGATGGTGGAAGTTAAATAGCCAGAGATATCCGATACTGTCTAAAATGACTAGAGATATTCTTATTGTTTCCGACTCCGCAGTTGCTTCTAAATCCACTTTCTGTACTAGTGGTTGAGTTTTAGATTGTTTTATAAGCTCTTTGACTCCTAAAATAGTGGAAGCCTTAATTTGTACTCAAGTTAGGTTGAGAATGCAAAACTAGCCTCTATCAAATGAGGAAAATATTGATTAAGTTGAGACGCTGGAAACAAGTTATTTTATTTTATGTTTATATGTAAATGTGACATTGTGTTTTTATTTTTTCAGAATTAATAGATGGGACCTATTATGCTTCTGCACATGCCTCTAGATATTTTGTGGATCCTACACCTGTGAACTTAATGGTTTACTTATTTATTATAACCTTAGAATTTTTTTACCAATAAAGAATAATATCATGTGTTGTGTTTGTTGCTCATTTACCAAGGTGATTAACAATGGTGAGTAGTTGTTGGAAGTGTTGGTGTTGGATGTTTTCCACTACCCACAACCCCTCTATTGGTGTTATTCATATGCCCCTCAGTTTTCCTGGACAAGTGCTTCTTCATTTAATTTTGCCTCTTGTTATGTTTTTCAGTAAAATTGGTTGTTCCCCCTTTTGGTAATGATGAAAGCTTCCATCATATACTGAAATAAGATTGGGTTGATATTAAATTTAGTTAGTGTTAAATTGAATTTGGACTCTTTAGATCTTTAGATTGCTTGAAACTTAGCACTAAATATTTTGGATGCCCCTAATCCATTTTGAATTTGAAAAGACGCAATCTGAACCAAATTTTATCAACTTTGTCAATTGTGAAAAGTTAGTTATGATATTTGTTTATTCACAACATTTTGTGACTACTTACCCTTATATGTGCAGGATTAAAGGCCAAAGCTATGGAGTTCTTTTCACTTTGTATTTTTGGAAGTTCCTAATAATCTGGTACTTATGCTCCTTATCGAGTTACTTGTTTGTATGTTTCGTGAAGTACTTGTTCATTTTGTACAATTTGTAAATTTAAATTAAACTTTTATCGCATTTTGTTACGTTTGTAACTTAATATGTTACAAATACTTGTCAAATCTGAATGTATAGTGTGTAATTTGAATGTGTAGTGTGTACAATTTGTGTCAAATTGACAATCCAAAACTTTAATTATGCAATTTCAAATTTTAACATAACCAATTCTATCGAAACCCGATCCAATATTCGAAAATATACAACTTAAAAATATCTGAAATACTAAACTGGGAAAATCCAAAGGTCGGGCTTAGTATTTATATTAAATATAACCTGAACGGGTTAAGGGTACGCAGACCTGATCCGCCCGAACCCGACCCGTGCTCTCCCATACTCCCAAACATGAAAAAGAGGGTGGTAAACCCCATCAGCCTTCCCCTCCCCTCCAAAACTCAACTCTCAAACATACCCTAAAAGGACAGTTGAAACTTGAAATACTGGCAGCAACTCCGCAAATAGTAGACCCATCAGATCAAGAATTAAAGTTGGAGGTTAATTGTTTTAAATGAAAGTTGTATTGGGATGAGAAAACCCCCTCAATCGATGTTAAGAATTACAGAGTTACAGAACTAGATGCGGCGCCGCGGCAGGGTTGTAAACGAATCAAATAATTTGTGCTCGATTCGTGATTTGAATTCGTATAAGACGGTTCGAATTCGGAAAATTCAAATACAAATACAAATAAGAATATTAAATTTGATTCGAGTTGTTATCAAATACAAATAAGAATATCAGTGTATTCGATTCGAATATTAATCAAATATATTCGATTAATAATAATGGTAATATTAATGTCAATATTAATAATTATAGTAGTAATAACACTATAATAACTTTTAAAAGATAGCAATGCCATCAAAGTGTAACCCATATATACACTTTTGCATACAAATTCCAAACCTATTTGTAATAAATCAGAATATAAATACAAATATAAATCAATTTTTTTGGTTCAAACGTCTTTCAAATACAATACAAATAATTATGTGTTCGATTTGAAGAATAAAATTAGAGTTGGTTGACTTTGATATATACAATTATCAACTTATTTCATACTATAATTTCTAATATGTGTGTGTTAGTGTTTACTTAAAAAAGTTTGAAATAGATTTATATTTATTAATCATAAAATTAATTCACTTTAGTATATTAATTCATCTAAAAATGCATTGATCCATTAAATTTAAATTCGAAAAACACATATTAAGTCATATCATGCATTTACAACATAAAAAATATGGAATATAAAAAAGTTATTTTAGAGTGATATTTGACTAAAATTTAACTTATGCTCAAATCGATTCGATATTCGTATATGATTCGTTAACTATTCATATTGTTAAACAAATACAAATACAAATCAACATTAATATTCCTTTCATATTTGAATTCGAATTCGTATTCGAAAAAAATAAACAAATACAAATACAAAATCTCATTATTCGACTCGATTCGGTTCGTATACAACCCTATGCGGCGGCGGTAGCTCTTAATAACAGAGATACTTAATTGTTTGAATTACTTCTTCTACCTCCACCTGGCTCTGTAACTCTTAACATCCAATGGTGGTGGCAGCAGCGGTGGTGGTGGTGACAATAATTATAACAATAAAATAATAATAATACTCCCTCCGTTTCCAAAACAACTTCCCCATTGCTTTTCACAGTTATTAAGGAAAAAAAATTACTGAGGGTAAACTTTACTGTTTTGACACTGTTTGGACACTGTTTGACACTGTTTTGCACTGTTTGGACATTGTTTGGCACTATTTTGATGTAGTTAATTTGCCAAATAAGGAAAGAGGAACTTAATTTGGGAACTACCCAAAAAGGAAAGGATGAACTTGTTTTAAAAAAAGGAGTAATAATTACTCCCTCCGTCCCGCTAACAATGGGACAAGAGGGAGTGACACGCAAACCAATAAAAATTGGTTTATGTGATTGATATTCAATTGATAAAGTAAGAATAAAGTAAGAATAATTTAGAGCCACACAAAGTTTGCCAAATTTGGTATGAGACAATCTTATTGGGACGGACCGATAAGGTAAAACGGGACAATTATAGCGGGACGGAGGTAGTATTATTAATGATGATGATGAAATGATACTGACATAAGTCCATTTGAAATTTGTAAAACATTGATATTGAATAAATTGACTTAATCCACTGAAATTTGTGTCTGAAGCAGCTGAAACTAACTAATATGTTGATTGGAGAAAAATACTTCATATTAATTTTATTAATAAAATATAGAAAAATATATATTAAAATATAATTAAAACAATCTTGAGAAAATTTAGTCAGTTCAACTAAAAAAGTAACTAAAAAAGTAATATTAACCTTATTTATTTTGATTATTACACAATTCAGTTCATAAAATCAAAAGTTACACGTTTAGTAAAAAAATTGATTGATAAGCGTGATATGTCAAAAATAAATATAACCAAATGGGTTGTTAAAGTGGCTGATAACTACGAGCCCGTTTGGTCATGCTAAAATTGATTAAATCATTATAATCTACTTAGAGCCTGTTGGATAACACTAACATTGGTTGAATTGACTGATTCTGCTGAAATATACTCCCTCCGGTCCTTAATTAAGTTTACACTTTTCTTTTTGGGCCGTCCCATATTAAACTTTACACTTTCTTATTTGCCTTATTTGGCAAACAAATCTACACCAAACAGTGTTAAACATTGTCAAACAGTGTTTTTTAATATGTTTGAAGTCAAAGTGTAAACTTCATTAAGGACCGGAGGGAGTATGAAGTTCTGGTTTAAGTTACTCTATTGGCTGATTCATAAAAAAATATATTTAAAATATTTGATATTAATAAATAAAAAATTATATGAAAAATAGCTAAGATGATCATCTACGATAACTTCACCCAATACAACCAGAAAAGTAACTTCAACCTTACTTTTTCTGCTTATTACATAATTCAGCACGCGAAACCAAAAATTACGTGTTTGATGAAAAAGTTGGCTGATAAGCATGATAAGCCGAAAAAGGGTCTATCAAATAGGCTCTTAAATTGATTGAATTCTTTCTCAAACGATTGAATTTGCTGAATGTTTTGACATATGGAAAAATTATTTTTAAAGTGTGTTAAAAAAGAACAAAAGGTATGAAAATATGGTTAATTGTCATCTTCAACAATCTTAGTCTAAATCCAAAATACTTATTTTAATTATTAAACAATATATTGCATGCAATAAAAATCATGAGTACTTGTTTTGGTAAAAACTTGACTAATAAAGTGAGGGCGGAATTGACACATTAGTCCCTACTTTTACACATTTTACAAAAGTAATCTCTACTTCAAAAATAAATCGAATGCTAGAATGGATCAGAGTTAAACAGACCGGAGTTGACTTAGACAAATCAAATCAGACCAGAACAGAGATTAGAGTTATAAGCTAAACAAAAATCAGACATTATCTAATCAAACCAATTATGTCTAGAAGAGACCAGATTTGATAACACGAGACTAAAATTTGAATCCAAAAGGCACCGCTATAGTTCTATATCAGAGAGATGCTTCCTCCGTCTCAACCACACAGTTTTTACTTTATAATTCTCCGTATCGATCAACTTCGACAAAGTTTCAAGGGACAAAGGTAGTACAAAAAATGAGTCATAGAGATAAAGAGTATCCATTCGTTTTCCACACATTTTAAGAAAGTAGATTTGGTTGGTACTGTTTGGACATTGTTTGACACTGTTTGACACTGTTTTGCACTGTTTTGTTTACCAAAAAAGGAAAGAGAACTTTTATTTAGGGACGGCCCGAAAAGGAAACGGATATTTTTATTTAGGGCGAAGGTGCGATATATACAAAGCACAATATCCTTTTGATTCCACTTTACTACTCCGTATTTTTATTAGATGGAAGTAATTCGAATGATGATAGTCACAATGAGTTCTTACATTACCAAAGCAATCCAAATCGTACGGTGTGTATAATGAGATCATAGATTACAGGGGATAAATATCCAGTAAACGAACCTATTTCAATTTCATGATCCCTTATTTTCATAATTGAAATTCATGTTGGCGAAATACCGGATGGAGAGGAGAGAGAGCGATAGATTCATTTCATCCTTACCTAATCGCCTTTTCTTGGGGGCAGATTTCGCCGGACTCGGAAGCGGCGGCACGCGCAGGCAGGGCCATGTGGAGCTCGGAGAAGTTAAAGGCGTTGATGACAGGTTACCGAGCGGCCCGAGGTGGAGCGAGTAGAGCCGCCGGAAGCCGCCGAGAGGGACAACCACCGCCCGGAGCTGCTTCTGTTGCTGCTGGCTGTGAGATCCGTCCTTGATGCACATCAGCTCCCAGATCCGATCGTCCTGCGCCGCCCGATTCCACAGCTTACTAACGCACGCCGCCCTCGCCAACGTCTGCGCGTCGGCGCGATTCAGCACCTCATACAACAAGTTCTCATCCATCATCACATCCTGCGCCTCCTTTGACGCCCCTCCTCCATCGATTTTGCTCTTCTTCGTCTCTTTCAGATCCTCGCCGCTTCCGGTTGTATTGCCTACTTCGTTAATGTTATCCCCTGAAATTGGACGCTTCATCGCGACAAATTAACAAATCTAGATAGCAGAGATAAATTTTCGACGCCGTTTTATAATTGCAGTAATTCCGGGATTGCGGATCCAGAATTGGTAGCACATGGAAGTTGAAAGTGTAATTTGTTCAGCTTCATCGATGAAGACAAGACAAACGATGATGGTGGAATGTTGAACCTTTGGTTGGTGATGAAAGTAACGTTCGGTATCAACTGCAGCGTATTCAAAAATCACAAATATGAGTGAAATTGACTGAAAGTGTTTGAAACTAATTTTTCTTGGGAAAATTTTACAAATAGTACTAATTGATAGTAGACCTCCAAAAATAGTACTTCCAAAACCGGTAGAACTTAAAGTGATGCAAACTGACAATAATGCCCTCAATTAAAACAAACCCAAAGGACAGCCTGATGGCATCACTAAACTTGTCTGCTATTACTCCCCCAAAGCTTCTTCAATAGATTTTTTCCGTGAGAAGATGAAAATGATTTCAGAGCAGTACCAACAGGAGAAAACGCCACAGAGAAAGACGATAAAAATGGTGAAGAGAAAGAAGAAGTCGGAAGACAAAAATGAAGAAAACATAGAAAATGAGAATGAAGTTTCAGACGACGACTTTGAAATGAAGGAGAAGAAACTAACGAAGGAGAATAAAAACGAAGAAGTGAAACCAGAGGTTCTTCCATGTGGCAAGGTAATGTCTACAATTACTTTTGTTTAATATTATGAAACTGTGAAATAATGACTACAGTAGAGAGATTGAAAATCCAATTCATTGTCATTGCAAAGTGTTTGAGTTGAAATTAGTATTAGAAGACATGCATTAGTGTTTGATTTGATAAAATCTCATTAACTACGATTTTGATATAGTAATCGTAGACAATAATTTCAATTGGTTTCAATATAGTTCTCAAACACAGTAGGCAATTTGTTTGGTAGCTGACCTAGTTGTCACAGATTTTGCTTTCAATATAGTTCTCAAACACAGTGATTTAAAATGGTGTATGGTCAAATATTATTGATCAATTGAGCTTTATTTAATGAAACAAGTTAATAGGTTACCTATGTAAGGACATTATGTTTTTGAGATCATGTAGACAATAATTACATTTGATTTTGGTAATTGATGTTCAATTGATGTAATGCTCACATATATTGCTTTTCATAAAGTGGTCATAGACAGTGGTTTTTGGTCATATATTGTTTTATCAATTGAGCTTTATTAATGAACCAAGTTAAGTGGTCAATATTTTCATTTGAGGTGGTCATAGACAGTGATCTGAAATGATTTTTGGTCATATATTGTTTTATCAATTGAACTTTATTAATGAACCAAGTTAAGTGGACAATATTTTCATTTGAGGTGGTCATAGACAGTGATCTGAAATAATTTTTGGTCATATATTCTTTTATCAATTGAAGTGGTCCTCAGAGATTGTGGTTTTCATATTATCATATATGGCTAATAGACAGTGATTTCAAATGGTCATATATTATTGATCAAATTGGGCTTTACTAATAACACAGTAAATAACTTATGTATTATCTATGTAGTTTATAAGATAATATTGACAATGTACAAGTAATGTTTGTGCATCTAGTCGGTAATAATAAGATCATGTGACAGAGGATTGCTTGACAATAAAACATATCTCAAAGTTAACTGCTCCTCGAATTTGTACAATGGAATCGAAAAAATAAATAAAATGCTAAGTGAGGAGCAATTAGTGGAATTCAGAAACACGGCATTTGAAAAAATGCTAGACATTGGAGATGTCCAGTGGATCACTGGTCAGCTGCTCATATTAATTGTAGAAAATCATGTCAAAAGGTTGAACAATAAAGCTTACAGAGACCGCTTCATCTTCAACATTGGTGACAGATTGGTATGTTTCTATAAAAAAGAGCTTGCCCTAATAACAGGATTCAAGATGGGAGGTGAAAAACCTGTAATATCCATACAGTCTAAAGGTGATATCTGGAAAAGTTTTTTCAACTCAAGGAATAACGTGTCAAGGGCAGACATTAAGAGGGCTTTTGAAGAGTTTGATAACATAATGGTAGAAAAGCAGCCTTTGGATAGGGTAAAGTTAGCAATTCTGCATTTAATTGCTAATTTCTTTATTGGGAATCAAAGCACTGTAAAATGCCCAGAAAAGTACATCAACATGGTTGACAACCTTGATCTGGTGAATCAATACCCATGGGGAGATGAAATATGGGAAGATCTGCTTGAAAAAGTTCCCAAGTGGACACATAATATTAATAAGTCCAAATATTTCAGATATGGATTTCCGGGCTTTGCTTTTGCTTTGCAAATATGGGCGTTTGAAAGTTTTCCTGCACTTAGGAGGGCAAATATGTGTACTATTGAAGACGAAAGAAAGGGAATGTGCCCAAGAATTCTCAAATGGTCAGTACCTAAAAAATCTTGTGTCACAACACTTGCTTAGCACATATTTGACAACAAAGAGGTAATGTTTATAAATTAATCTGCTGCAACATATTTATATTAATTTATTGACTCCTTATTGTGTAATTTTTACTATAATAATTCTTTCATGCAGTTTGAATTTCAGAAAATGTGCCCAACTGAAGAGGAGCTTCAAAACCCAATTATAAAGGCAATGTATGCAGAAAAAATGCCTAAGCCCGTGATGAAAAAAACCGTCTGTCTTTGGCAGCAATTAGAAAAGAAAATGTTGTGAAGGCCAATCAACTTGAAAATATAGAAGTTGGGAAGAGTGATGAAGAAAAACATGTACAGTTTGAAGAGGAAAACAATGAACCAAGTGAGCAAGAGAATGCAGACATCAACCACACAAAAGTTGAGCATGCAGATCCAAGTGGAATCAGCAATTTAAATCGCATGTTCAAGAGAAGAAAGGGTGTTGGCAATGAACTGAGAGATAACACCATACTGCGTAACTTAATGGCTGCGTAACTTAAATCGCATCTTGAAGATACAATGCAAAAGCTTCTGAATGGGCAAAGGGAACAAACTGATATCTTGAGATCTCTTCTTAGGAAAAATGATGAATATGAAGAAGATGACATCAACAGAGTGGGGCTAGACTTATATGATGGTCTTCACGCAGAGCCAGAAAGCGAAATGGAAAAGAAAAAGTCTCTTGAAAAAAAGAAAATGATTCTTCCATTCGAATGTGTGAGACACCAAGTTTTGATCTCCATATTGATGACACACAGAAGGAGAGCAAAAAAACTGAAGGGGTGACAGAAAAGGGTGAAGAAGATGAAGCTGGTAATGATGATTCCGGGCAATCTCATAAAAAGATTGATAGTAATGATGCAGAACCGATATGTGCTCAAAATCAAGATGTTTTTATGAGTGAAGAAGTTGAGGTGACAACTCAAACAAGCATCAACAGTGAGGAGCTACAAATCCATGTGAATACTGTCCTATCAGATGTCATTAAAGATCTGAAGCAAAGAGATGAGATAATAGAAGAAGAGGTAATTTGTTTAGGGTACAAGGTCTTTTACTAATTCTTATTTTAATGTCTACTTAATGCCTGAATTTGGGAAATTATTAACTACATTTTTATGTAACTATTTTGAATGCAAGAAGAGCAGATGGTGATAGATAGACAAAATGATATTCTTACTGATCAGTTCAAAATAAAGGAGGTTCACATACATGATGAACATGTATGAATTTATCTATAGTAAGAAAAAGGGTATAGTCATTAACAAATACAAACTAAAGCTAATGACTAAAAATTGTAATAATGATGTGCTATACTAGTTGCTTATACAAGTAGAAGAGAAAACAAGACTGCATGAAGTGGAGGAAGATGAGTTGAAACGGCCAAAGAGAACTGTTAGAAGTCCAGAAAGATACACACCCAACCCAACAACTGAAATGAAGAAGAAAAAGATGGAAAAGGCAATGAAGAAAAGAGAGAAAGCAGATAGTGACACAAGTCCAGTAAGAGCACCGTTTGCTGAAGATCCAAAACAGAAGCCTGATATGGAGGATGTGCACAAAGTGAAGATTTATTTAGAAGAGGGGCTACTAAAAAAGCACTCAAGTAATGTACAAAAGAAGTACAAAAAGAAGGAAGAAGAGCTAGTCTCATGCCCATTCGGATTGCAGCTGGACAGCTTCATTATAAAATCAAAAACTTGGATTTATAACCTCTTCACCAATGCACATTGGTTGACTGACACAGTAAGTCTAATTTGTATATATATATATATATATATATATATATATATATAGTGTCTGAAAAATACTACAAAAATAAATCAAATCAATTTTATATTTTATGTATTTCAGCCCATGGGAATAACATTTTTCTACTTAGGCGTGAAGAAGCAGTATAATTTGAAGCAAAAGTTTGCCACAGCAGATCCTTTATTCATTGAGATGGTAAAGTTGAAAGCTGGATTGATGGATAACGAAAAGACAACACTGACCGAGGTAGCATACAATGGAACAATAATGAATAACATCTTAGGTACTAGCCAAGCAAATATGATTCCATGGGCAGATGTTGATTATGTATACATGCCTCTGAATACAGGGATGCATTGGGTTTTATTAGTTTTAGAAATCAATGCAAAACGTATCCGAGTTTACGACTCACTGACGAGAAAAGGGGACACATTGTCTAGCATCAGGGCATATACGACATGCTTAGAGACTTTCTTGCCAAAGGTCATGGAGAGATTAGGAGTATATGACAAACATCAAGAAGCAGCAGTCGAAAAGGGAAAATTAAAGATTGAGATGGTGCGAAATTGTCCACAGCAGCAAGATGGGTATGGCAATGTATATAAATCTCTTATATAGCTATAAATATAGAAAGATAAAGATAGTAATCTATTTTTATCTTGCAGGGGGAATTGTGGGATGTTTGTGATCAATTTTGCTCAGTTCCTAATGCTTGATAGAGAAGCTACTGAGGTTTCAAATGATGACATGGAGATGTATCGAGAGAAGATGACAACAGAACTACTTTTGTATGCGTCAAAAGAAAAGTAGATTTAATAACTAGTTGTTGTGATATGTATCGTAAGCAAAGCACATTTACTCTGGTTAATATGTACTGTAGTGCATCTAATTCATGTTAGAATGTACTGAACTCGTAGTCTAATGCATTGATGCAATCAAAACTGTTATATGAACACCCATATTAATGTCTATTTTATGACATTAAGTAGACATTAAATGATAATTAATGTGAAGAAATTCCACTTATGGTCCTTCGAGATTTGCACCAATTCCACAATTCGTCCTCGTTTTTCATTTTAT